TTAGAAGTAATCCTAACTTCTCCATGCTAGACAATTTTCTATAATTTACATGTCCCAGTCTATTATGCTATAACACAGAGAAGTAAGCAGAAGAGTATATTTCATTTATAACTGAGTTGGGTACAATAGTACTGATCTTGTACATGCTATTAGTACGATATGTATTTCTAAAATATATTTTCTTAAAAGATAGCACAATCTTTCCTCCTTGAAAATCCAGCCTCATACATGCGTCACATAGCAGGCTTCCAGAGACTAAGTTTTTTACAATTGAGGGAATATGTTTCACATTCTTCAATGTGGGAGTCTTCCCTGAAGAGAGAGTTAGCACCACAGTCCCTGTTCTAAGAACAAGAACCACAAAATGATCAGTCATTGATATGTTCTATTTGGCAGTAACATAAAAAGAGAACAAATCTCTGTTGGAGCAGACATGACAGGTAGCACCTGTGTCTAACAACCAACCAGAGATGTTGTTGGAAGTTGTCACTTGGAAGAGCATAGCCACACAATTGTCAACTTGATTAATATTGTATGTTGTTCCCTTCTTTGGTGCTTTGCAGTCTTTGGCAAAATATCATTGCCTCCCATAGTTGAAGTATTTGCCACTCTTCTTAAAATCTTTTTTTTTTTTTGAACATTTAATATCTTCGGATTTTGGTTCTTCTTTTTGTTAAATGACTTCTTCTTCTCCTTGAAAGAAGAACTAGTACCATTCTCAGAGTTAGCAGCCACCATGTTAGCAGACGCCTTCCGCTTAGCAAGAAACTCATTCTTTATGCGAGTCCGAATCTCGTCTTCGATCCGAATGAACCTCTTCAAATCAAACAGAGTCACATGTCTTTTCCTTCTTTGAATGTCTGTGGAGAATGACATCCAAGATGAAGGAAGTTTGTTAATAATTACACCAGAAATAAAGGTTTAACAAAGATTAATTTTTTCATCCTTCAGCTTCATAACAAGCTTTTCAAGATCTTTGACTTGAGGAAAAACCTCAGTGTCATCTTCGAATTTGAAGTCCAGAAACTTGTCAATGAGATGAGACTTAGACAACTTCTCCTCATCATTGTATTGGTCCTTCAGAGCATTCCAGATTTCCTTTGTAAAGGGCTTGTTAGTGTAAGCATCTGTCAGATGATCGGTCAGACAGTTAAGAAGATAACTCCTGTAGAAATAATCATCTTTAGCCCAAGAGACTTCAGACTCAGAATCTTCTTCAAAGTCGGGTTTCTCCTAAAAAATGATATAGTATATTTTTAGGAGTTGCATCCCGAAAATTACTTTTCGACGCCATGCAATAAAAGTTGGATCCGTCAAAGTTTTCTAACTTGAGACAGTCCACTCCAAATGTCCTCGCAGGATCCATTGTAGATCAGAAATATTGCTTTAAGATTGTTGGCGCATGTGGCTAAATATGGAATAAAGCAGATAAATATGTTAGATAATAGTTGAAGTGCTATATTTTTAAAACTTTTTCAAATTTAGCTGCTGTACATTTATGAAATGTTGTGCTTAAAGCAATATTTGGCCTACTCTGGTGTAAGGATCCCAATGTCAAACTACTTCTAGGAACAGTAGTACAGTACACTGGTGTGTAACGACCAATTATTATTAAGATCTCCTCGATCTATAAGACCTTTCGGTCAAGGAAAAGATCTCCTTGATCTATTAAAACCTTTCGGTTCAATAAACTTTCGGTTCAGGCAAAGATCTTTTGATCTGTAAAAAGCCTTTCGGTTCAGAGCTATGTTCCTTCGGACACAGACTAAAACTTTCACGCTTTCAGACTCTGCAGCAGTAGCACAACAGCACAAAACACTTATTTGTTTTTCGTATCTCTTTTTACATATATCCAAGAGCTCCCTAAGAGACACTATATATAGGCCTTTAAGACCAGCTCAAAGGTCACTCATATTTAATTTGACCGTTATAAACATAATGACAATTACGATAATTATGTTTGTAATGGTAAATAACATAAATGTTATAATTGTTGCATGCAGTAACGTCTGAATGTGAGGGTCGCGATGCAGCACAACATGAGGGTCGCATCCAGTCTCGCGCGAACGCAATAGGCGCACCCTCATGCGAACGTAAGGCTTGCCCTAGCTACGAACGTGAGGCTCACCTGCATGCTACGAAGTAGCCTGCGAGGCAGTCCCGTGTGGTGCCACCTAGCCTCGATACCTTCTTGCAAAGTGCAGAGTGCGCCTAACAAAGTGCCACTTAGCGCCTCAGCCCGATTGGCCCCGATCCCTGGCCCATGGCCCATGGCTCACGAGGCCACGAGCTCATGGCCCACAGCCCAAGAGAAGTTATGAGGGATCAATTAAATAAAAAATAATTCTTAGCTTGTCGTTAGCAAGCCTCGAACATAGGGCCTTTGAGATATCAAAACTTTAACTTTCCGCTACACTACTAAGAATTTCTAAAAAATACCAGTAATTAATAAATGCATAGTTTGAAAACTCATTTTTGGAAAGCGGTTTTGACCAAAAAATCCAACAAATATATCCTTTTCAATGTAAGAAAACTATTCATCTTCAATTCAACCAACTTCTTAACATGTTTACATAAGAAATGCAGTTCTCAAGTTTAGTTCAATACACCAAACAAACCAATCAAACAAACAAAGTTCAAAAAGGAAAATTAAAAAGAGAAGAAAAACTAACCTGAAATATGCATCGAGGAAGGTAGAAAGGCTGAAGGAGCGATGAGGAGCGAGACCAAAGAACTGAGGATGCGGACGACATCGAAGGAGATCTAAAGATAATGAAAAAGGCTGGGAAAGAAAGGAAGAGGGCAGTCAAGCTTGGAGATGGCGATAAATGATGTTCATGTTGACATTGCGGTCCGTAGAGTAGAGGGAAAGATAGCAATTGCTAGAATCAAAAGATTTGTTAGTGGGAATAAAAGCCTAGAGGATCCGGACTCGGAATAAAATAGAAGCAGGGAAAATTGTCTATTGAGGGCTTTACACTTTATGCCTTGTAGTTATATAAAATCACCAATATGCAGCATACCTCCTCCCTTTTGTTCTTATTCTAAAGGGGTGCCTATGACCCGGAGGACCTAATGTGCCTCCGCCCCTGGTTGCATGTGAACTCGTGCTAGACAGAATTTGGGTAGAGATCCTCTACGTCATTGGTTATGAAGAACTTGTGAAACCCCAAAGTTTAGTTTCACATTAGGAAAACGAAGAAAAGCTTGATGCTTTAAATAGAAGGTTAAGGAACTCAAGTATAGCATCGGCTAGTCGATTTTGACAGTGGTTTGATTCGAACAATGTGCTACGCTCAGTGGGTTTCATGCTTACAATGTGTTAACAGGCTCGAGGGTTCGGAGCATGACAGAACCTCCACAACTTATCTATCACATCTCCTAACTGTGTGGACCTCATAATCATAGGCTTGTCGTTAGCAAGCCTCGAACAAAGGGCCTTTGAGATATCAAAAAATTTAACTTTCCGCTACACTACTAAGAATTTCTAAAAAATACCAATAATTAATAAATGCATAGTTTGAAAACTCATTTTTGGAAAGCGGTTTTGACCAAAAAATCCAACAAGTCTATCATTTTCAATATAAGGAAAATATTCATCTTCAATTCAACAAACTTCTTAACATGTTTACCAATCCCTTCAATTTCATAAAAATCATATGATGAGTAGCAAAATAAGAAATGTAGTTCTCAAGTTCAGTTCAATACACCAAACAAACCAATCAAACAAACAAAGTTCAAAAAGGAAAATTAAAAAGAGAAGAAAACTAACCTGAAATATGCATCGAGGAAGGTAGAAAGGCTGAAGGAGCGATGAGGAGCGAGACCAAAGCATTGAGGATGCGGACGACATCGAAGGAGATCTAAAGATAACGAAAAAGGCTGGGAAAGAAAGGAATAGTGTAATCAAGGTTGGAGATGGCGATAAATGATGTTCATGTTGACATAGCGGTCCGTGGAGTAGAGGGAAAGATAGCAATTGCTAGAATCAAAAGATTTATTAGTGGGAATAAAAGCCTAGAGGATCCGGACTCGAAATAAAATAGAAGCATGGAAAATTGTCTATTGAGAGCTTTACACTTTATCCCTTGTAGTTATATAAAATCACCAATATGCAACATACCTCCTCCCTTTTGTTCTTATTCCAAAGGGGTGTCTATGACCCGGAGGACCCAATGTACGTGCCTCCGCCCCTGGTTGCATGTGAACTCGTGCTAGATAGAATTTGGGTAGAGATCCTCTACGTCATTGGTTATGAAGAACTTGTGAAATCCCAAAGTTTAGTTTCACATTAGGAAAACGAAGAAAAGATTGATGCTTTAAATAGAAGGTTAAGGAACTCAAGTATAGCATCGGCTAGTCGATTTTGACAGTGGTTTGATTCGAACAATGTGCTACGCTCAGTGAGTCTCATGCTTACAATGTGTCAACAGGCTTGAGGGTTCGGAACATGACAGAACCTCCACAACTTATCTATCACATCTCCTAACTGTGTGGACCTCATAATCATAGGGTTCATGAAATGAGTCAATATCGTTGATTCATATCACCAATTGTAGGAGTTCTCTACGATCAAGAATGTTGAAAATATAAACCCAAATACAAGGCCAATGATTTAACTAATCAGACCCAAATTAATCAGCCGCTAATGAATTAATATATGTTATACCTTAAGATGAGGAGCCTGCGTACCAAAATTAAAAACCCATCCAAGCTAACAGTGGCAGTTGACCCTTTTTTTATTTTTCATAAAAGAGCACACGAGTGACATCACAGAGCTTTCATCACCAAGTACCATGGCTCCCACTGCCACGTATTCTCAGTCTCAAGAACCAAAAGTCCAGAGGCCAAGGCCCTTCCTCTCTCCTTCCTCGATATTTCTCAGATCTTTCTCCTAAATACTATAATATTAGCAAACTAATTACTCTTACTGTGCTTTATATATATAAGACATTGAGACCATCTCGAGTCTTTACTACAAAATTTTCCTTCATCGCTGTACAACCTCAGCTCTAAAGCCTCTCAGTTCATCCAAATTTAGCTTATTCTATTTTCTTCTTCTTCCTAAAACAAGGAAAAAATGGGAGCAAAAAGGCTTCGAGATGGATCGGATCAAGATACCGATAAGCCCCAGAAATCAGAGCAGAAGAAGCTCAGGGCCTTGCCTTCCTTCCACACGTTAGTTAACCGATCGAAAACACAACCTCTTCTTCAATTCTTCTTCTTCTTATATCATATTATTACTAACACTAGCTCTTTGCACCCTTTTCATTATTATATATTTTATATATATATATACTTCTTTGTTGAGTGCAAGAGATGGGCAATATTCATATGCATTCTTTCTAGGGTTTCTAAATTTGAATTTCAAGGAGTTTTGTAGAATATTGCTTTATTTCCCCTTTTCTTCTTTTTTTTTATGCATACATGCATGTATTTTTTGTGGACGCGTTTTTATTTTTATTTTGGCTTTTCATTGGATTTTGTACGGTCTATATATGTAGAGATCTTCAGTTTTGTCAATTGTTTTCATCTTCTTGTCTTTGTTGCTTCCTTATTTTATGTGAAAACTGACTAATACTTTTAACATCATGAGGATCAATCTACTTATTTTTTTTTTCTTTACTTCATTTTTACACTTAATTGGATAAAAAGAAAGATTTTTGTTTATTAATTTCTTCGCCAACATGACTTTTCTGAAGTTTTGCTTGTAGGACTACATAAAATATACATGATGCACTTAAGTACTTCCCTAATTTGATCAAAACTGATAATCCCATATCAACTGATTTTCCTTTGAATGAGAAATAGCATACCTAAACAATTCAATATATATGAAGATTATATTTTCAAGTTTCCCCGTGAATTTTCTTTGAATAACTGTGTTTGTATACATGTGCAATATGCGTGGTTATAAACATATCTGTGATGAAAGAGTATATATATATATATGTTGATTGATATATTAATTAATCGATCACATATGTTCATAGAAGAGCTAAGATTAATCAAGATAATTAATTAATGAAGCCATATTGTAGCTTCAGACATGTGAAAAGCAGAAATATATATTGGCATATTACTTTCACATGTCCTAACTTTTGATAAAAATTTCCAATACATCGCATTCAACACCTCAACACGATTTCAAATAAAATTAACCTAATAGATGAGAAAGACTTCACATACTTTATAAAGTTTCTAATTCTAATTATAACATTGATATTTCTGATTTGTTTTCTTCATTCTGACCGAAATCTGCAGGGTAATCAAAGAAGCTGTGATGGTGAAAACAATACAAAACTTGTTTGGTGCTTTAGAACCATTAATTCGCCGAACGGTACGTGATGATGAAAATCCTTATATAAATCTTTCTTATGTATTAGGAAATATGTAGTTCAAACAACAACTTGCTTTATTATTTTATCAGAGACATTAGAAAGTAAGTAGCTAGTAACTACACATCCAAATCAATACATGTTAAAGGATATCCATTATAATTGCCCATGTATAATATCATCCATCTCTTACTAGCTAGTTTAACTAAAATTTCTTGTCTTCGCCTTGTCCAACGTTAGTTTTCTTTCTTAATTTAATCAGTTCCTACTTTTGTAACAGTAACAAGAACCATATAATTCAAGAGTGCGCTAATCATTATTTTTTTCCCTTTCAAATGAAAAAGTACGAGCTACAATTACCTGTATTAATATATGTTTGATCTTCTAATTGGAGCTTTGTATTTGTGTTCATCTAGGTGCGAGAGGAGTTCGAGCGTGTCCTTCATACCACTCGTTATGTTCAAAGGTAATGAAAATTTCCATCCTTTGAAATAAATCTTATATAATCACTTTAAGATAATTTAACCTCTTTATTTTTCATTTTAGATAACTGAACATGAAATGTTAACATTACATTAATTAATACAAATGTTCAGGTCTCCCCAAATGCAAATAGAAGACGTCGAATCACCAAATCTTCGCCTAGTCTTCACGAAGCCACTCACCTCCCGCATCTTCACTGGGAGCAAGGTAGAGGATTTGGAGAATAACCCGCTCCAAATTTTACTAATTGATACTCAAAATGGCAACAATTCTCCTGCCACACTCCCAATGCCTATAAAACTCGAAGTAGTAGTTTTAGATGGAGATTTCCCTTCTGAGCTCCATGACAACTGGACTAGTACTAATTTCAGTAAAAGCATCGTTAAAGAACGAAGAGGGAAGAGGCCACTGCTCACTGGAGAATTTCCCGTCATTTTGAGGGATGGTTTTGCTTCGATCGGGGAGCTCACCTTCACCGATAACTCGAGCTGGATAAGGAGCCAACACTTCAGAATCGGAGCAAGAGTTGTGCAGGATGGCTATAAAGGACCGAGAATCAGAGAAGCCATCACAGAAGCCTTCAGGGTGAAAGATCATCGTGGTGAATGTAAGTTCACTCACTGAAAGTAGCAGTTACAGAAAAATTAATGAGAAATTTTGCATGAATTAATATTTACTAGTGAGAAAATAACTACTTTGCTATAATCTACTACGGAGTCATGGTCATCCTAATTTGCTATAATTTAGCACGATAATGGACGAAACTGTTATTATTTTTTGGCATTAGTTGACAGATTCCAAGCATAAATAATTACGGATGACTTCATAGCTAGCTGGTATCCACAAGTTGTTATACCGACCTAATGGATAGATGCATTTGTACTCCAACATGTAATACAACACGTGATCTTGATATGACCCGGTAGACTTGATCTTTAAACAACATTTGTCACGGACCATTCATTTTAATTTCTAGTAATAACTTCAATTGAAGATGAAAATGACTCGTTCAAGAATGTTTTTATTCATTTGCAACTTCAATGATTTGAGTTTAGATTCGTAGCGAGTAAGATTTGATTCTGGTTTATTCAGATCGATACCATCTTAAAGTCCTTGCCACTAGGATTATACCTGAGCAACCCAAGCTTGAATCTTGAAGCTAACGACTTTAAAATAAACTGACACCACAACTTTGGAGTTTTGGTGTGATAGCGGAGTTTTTAAGATTACACCTCAACTAATTAACAAAACATCGAATTCACAGCATACAAGAAGCATTACCCTCCAGCTCTAACTGATGATGTCTGGAGGCTTTGTCAGCAGAGGGTATCAACACTGTCCATGAATTCTTGAAGCTATGGGCGGTTGACCCAATGCAACTCCGAAGGGTAAAAACATTAAATCTCTCATTTATTATAGCACATCAACTCGAAACTATCCAATATTTTTGCAAGGTCTGATTTTCTTTCTCATGGACTATAGATTCTTGGAGTAGGGATGTCAGATCGAATGTGGGAAGGAACAATCGCCCACGCAAGGACATGCCCGATTGGGGACAGGTTCTACGTGCACCGAAAGCAGCACTGCACGGTTTTCTTGAACGCCCTGTGCCAAGTTATGGCTGTGGCAATCAACGGTTCTTCATTCTCACTTCAAGAGCTTACTAGAGCTCAAAAGGTAAGCTTGACTTCAATAGAAACATTTGTGTGAATCTACTTTTAGTTATGGCACTGATATATTGGAGCTTTTTACAGGCTTATGTGCAAGAAATGGTACTGGAGGCATATCGAAACTGGGACAAGTTGGAGGACTGTAATGCAAATGTTACGTCGTGTAACGCTCTTGTAGTACAAAGTATTTGAAACTAGACTCAAATCTTATTCAAATTGCAATAATAAAAGTGTATCTGGCTTCCAAGTTCTCTAACTTGTTGGTCCTATTGACAGATCAGCCAATACCACAGGCATCCCTTTGGTACCCTGGGTCAGACATCCAGATTGAAGACTTTGATGAGATTGGAGCTACTGCTTCAATCCACTGGGGCTAATCATCAGAAGCATTTGATTAGTTGAAATTAAAAAAATTCGTTCCTGTAAACAATGTAAGTTATGACTCAAATACCTATATATTTGCTGCCCTGATTGCTTGTGCTGATCAACAGCGAAGTAAGCAAAGTAACATGTGGCGTACTCACACATTTGTTTTTCTACATTTTTGTCCATAATATTAGGAAAATTGTATTTGATTTGCTCTGGAAAGTTGAGTTGATTTGGTTGGTTGAAGTGCAACCTTCACCTAATATTAAGAAATTTGTATCTGAGTAGAGTATTTGTAATTTGTTGTAAGAAATCATTTCACTACAATAATGCTTGAATTTCTATGCAAACTATATATATTAGGAACAACCATAGAATTAACGATTCTATGATAGCGCCAGATATGCAAGCCATAAAAATATGCAAATCTTCATGAATGAACGGGGGGTTATTTATTACATAGCACATAGATAGCTCAGGAACTTTAGCAGAAGCTTTAATCAAATATGAAGTAAATGGAAAATGATCAATCATCAGATTACAATCCATGTAAATATTTCAAAAGAACTTGTTAATAGTTTCCAGTTCATTTTTGCATCTCATGCCATTTCACTCTCCTACAGGCTTCCATCCTAGAAAATTTTGATAATGATCCGTAGTATCAGTTGCCTGTTCACCAAGGCTACACAGCTTACCCCATGATTCTCGATGCATGAATTAGGGCGTTTCACTTGAAGCATTAATCTGGCATCAATAGGAAATTGCCAATGGGCTCACACTATCAGAACATCTAGGTGGTGCTTCAAACTAAAGATCCATGTATAAGATTTGTCGCAATCAGCAGCACCAAGGCTTGCGCAAATGCAGTTCACCAGTTCAAGGGAAAAATGGTGCCTTTAATTTATTGGCAAAAAGAGAAAAAGAATATTACAATCATATCTATATCCTAGTCATATTCAGTTACAAAACAGCATCAGTGTCTGGCTTCAAGTTTTGTTTTTGTCAACTGGGTTTCCGACTCCTGAACCTTTGTGTTCATTTCTTTCTCTGTAGGACTTGTACTACCGTGTGATGACAATCCATTGTTGCCATCCTCTAAGCGAGTTTCTGAGAGTTTCTTCTCAGGTGGCAAAACTCGATGCAGGAATCTCTGGATCATCTCATAACTTGTAAAAGTGATAACAGCCGCAGGAGTAGTTCTCAAAAGATTTGTGGCACAGCCACGATAAAAGCCAGGGATTCCTGACTTCTGGAAAACCTGCTTAGTACAGTCTATAACACCCTTATAATGTTTCCCTGTATCACGAGCCTGGCCTTGTTCTTGGAGCCTCGACCTCACGACCTGATAAGACTAAAGCTGTTAAATTAAGAAGATGATGATAATTCAAAAGGCTTTAACAAATTTTGCTATGCATTGTACTCCAACCATTGGTTAACACTAGACAGGGGGTTGTTATTTTTGTTGGTGGAAGCAGTACCCTCGAACCGAAAGAGAAAATTATCTACAAAACGTCTAACAGAGTATTCTCATCGCTCTATAGCTATGATTATATTCTATAGCTAGGATTGTACATGAATATGCGAAATATCTCAATCCGTCCATATCTGTATCCTTTTAAATGAATGTCCATTAGTACCCACTACAGAGCCAGTTCCCCTTATAAGCAAGTGCAAATGTGAATATTATATTATCCCCTCCGTTTAATGTCTTTTCTGTACATAATTAACATTAAACGGCTACATTTTATTAATTTTCTAAACATAAAATTTAAAAAGAGTTTAATGGGTATCATAAATATATGTGTGATTCTCCGG